AGATCGGAATAAAAATTGTCTTCTAGTGCCTTCATTCGCCTCTGTCTCGCTTGGGAAACGGTGCTCGACAGAATGGCGGAGCAGTCGAGCCTATAAAGGAGAAACCTTCCAATACAGAAGATGTTGCAGTGGAAATTCTTCTAATCTAATGGCAGCGTACATTAATGGTAATTTTGCAAAACACTCTTCAGGCAAGACATTATCGAAGGTCGTATGCTTTTCTACTTATTTTCAGGACGTACTTACTGCTCAAGGTAAAGTTAACATACCTCTTTTGCTTTCTGTAATAAATCAATGCAACGAAATAGGCACAGCATAGAGCCAAAGACAGGAGAAACAGGAGAACAACGAATATGAAATATTCACAATCTGTAAATATTATGCCAATATAAGGTGCAATTTTAAAATAGCATTCTCTAGTTATTCTCAAGTAAGCATAGTTCCTGTATTATTCGTCTTTCGGATAAATCGGCAGAAGTAGCAATGAGTAACTGTTCACTATATTCCGACCTATTTATGCTGTTATGGAAAATGTAAATGATCTGGGAGGTATCTTTTTTTACGAAATAAAGTAAGTTCTGTATTATAAATGCTCCATTAGCATATTTTCAGTATTTGTGTTTGAATGAATCTGGAACATGTTCTCCCTGTCATTTTCGCTTTTTTTGGCAAATTTTTTTTCCTACATCACAGCTTAATTCACATACTGTTGAAAAGAATCAAGTCTGCAGGAATGTTTAACTTACTTGCTTTTATGACTCCATCCTTGACTTTTCTGATATTGAGAACAAACAAAACAATATTGGCGTTGGTGGCCAGCACCTGTAAAAATCATGTTAAATAGTGTCTTGTATTAAGCCTACATTCTAAAAATGGGCAATTTGCCTTTGACTTTGAACCAATTAAGTCTACTTACTGAGGTAGTTGATGATCAATCACAATCTGAAAAATAGAACTTACCGACAAAAACACGTGGAGTGGCTGTGGAACAGATCGTTCTAGAGATATTCCAGCCACAAATATAGAGAATACAATCATCCATTGCATCACTACCGAGCATAGCAAGGCCTCTTCTCCTGAATAATGCAGAAATAGTAGGATTTTTTGGATGTTTGCCAATTGGGTAACTTCTTCGGTAAATCTTGATATTTAACACACTAATTTTCTCGGAACCTGATTTACTAACGCTAACGCGGCACTA